TCTGACTGAACACTTAGTGACATAAGGCAGGCCTTTCCAAGGTGCAAGTGACAGCCAGAGGACCAAACTCGTACTTCTATCTTAGAAATAATCAGCGTTTGCATAGCTTCATCACAGAGATACGCATTGTTTTAGAGAACTGTATTTTATTTCCATTAGGAATTAAGGTTGATTTTCTAAAAAAAAAAGTAAAAAAGCAGGTTGATGGGTAGGATAAATTGATTTTGTTTTAACTTAACACAACATAGTTAAAGTACTTTCCTGTGACTAAATTATATTGTGATTTATTAAGTGGGGAACAAGAGCTATCTTTGACATAGAAAAGGCAATTAGAAACTAGTTTAGGCAGGGCGGTGGTGGTGTACACCTTTAATCCTAGCACTCTAGAGGCAGAGGAAGGGGGATCTCTATGAGTTCAAGGCCAGCTTGGGCTACAGAGAGAGTTCCAGGACAGTCAGGGCTACACAGAGGAACCCTGTCTTGAAAAACTTAAAAAAAAAAAAAAAAAAAGAGAAACTAATTTAAAAAAAAGAAATAATAACTTAAGAATTTTGCTATAATTTATCATTTATTATGATGGAAATTCAGTATTTTTATTATAAAAAAGATAATATACACTTATAATTTTGTTAAAGTAAAAGCTACATCCTGAATTCTGCATTATTTTCTTAGAAGCTGAGTATAAATCACCAGTTTTTCCCAGTCTGAGGTAATTCAAGCCTCACCTAATTTGGAGTCTCGAAGGTATTTCACATTCAAAAATATTATTTTCAAATTATTTTACAACCTACTTTTAAACCCAATGTTCTCATAAGGAAGGCCATGATAAGCTTACTTTGACTGGTTAAAAAAAATACAAAAAGTTAAAAAAAAAAAAAAAAAAACTTGCCCTGTATCCCAGAGGTTTTATTCTATAGATTTTTCAACCACCATCCCAATAATTTAATTAATACAAAATCCAGTAGTTTTCAGTTCACATTTAATGATTAGCTCCTACCTTGCATGTTCTTTAGAACGTAATATCCCAACTTTGGTGTCGAATGTTTTCCTTATATGAACACATCATTGGTCATTCCTATTTGACAGCGGTTTACAAAGCAGAAACACCCTGCAAACGGTGTTTCCGAAGACATAATCCTCACGTAAGGCACTTCTGCTCGTTCTCAAAGTTGTCATTCAGGTTTTTCATCTTTCTTAGACTCAAGTCTCCGTAAGTCATGTAGTGATTGCTCCTTCAAGTAAAACTTTAAGTACTTGGTTTTAGTACAATTGCCGTTAAGTAGCATCGATGATAAGAATGGAAGGTGGGCATCAGGCTCTGGGAAGGAAAACGTGAATGCACATCTTCTTGTCTACTTTAGATTTAGAGACCTGGTAATGTTTTCTCTTGTTGATCTTGTTCAAGAAGTTTGAAATCTTCCAAAGGAAGACTGCTTAAGGCCGCTGGTAAAATGTGTTCTGAGATGCCCTTAGGGAGCATGTTACTGGCTTCTAGATTCTTCACAAAGCGCGTGGCTTTGACCCATCTTCGAGTTGCTCTGCGTTCCCTTTGCAGGCAAGTTTTCATCTTCCTTCTTAAGCTTGCTATTTCTTTTTCTAGTTTGATCATCCTCTTTTTCGCCTCCATAGGGTTCCTAAAGGCGTAACTGTGTTCAAGTAGAACTTGCTGACTACTGTCCGGCTTTAAATGACATGGTCCGGGCGGAGTAAAGCTGTCGCTTTTCTTCAAAAGATTCCGTGACTTGAGTTTCTGAGCCGAATAGAGAGTTCAATATAAATTATGGATATCACAAATAAGTAAACAGTGTCCAGTTTTGAGTAACACGGTATTTAAACTGCTCTTTTAAGAACTGCTTTTAAAGTTTAATGGGCAACACCACCATACTATCTCATGTAACCATGGCTTAAGTTTCTCAATAGATTGAATGAACTCTAGTCACCTCGTACTTTTCTGAGACAACTCTGGCTGTTCTGGAACTTGCTATGTAGACCAGGGCAGCTTTGAATTCAGAGATACACCTGCTTTGACCTCCTGAGTGCTGGGATTAAAGGCAGGTATGTGCTGCCATGCCTGGCTAGTTCCTTTTTTCTTATGTCCTTTCTCTACAGAGACATTAAAACATTGATTTAGAAATAATCAGTGGATTTTCAAAGAATCTTCCACATTATTCAATATGATTCTTTGGAGGCTTTAAACATCTTTTTCAATTCTTTTTACTAAGACCAAACTAGAATTTGTTTAGATATTTCGTTTATCTATGGCATTGATCTCCTTTTTGTTAAGTATTAGTCCCTCAATTTGATGAATAATTCAGACCTGGAATCTACTTAAACAAAAACTCACACCGGGCGGTGGTGGCACACGCCTTTAATGCCAGCACTTGGGAGGCAGAGGCAGGCAGATCTTTGTGAGTTCGAGGCCAGCCTGGTCTACAGAGAGAGATCCAGGAAAGGTGCCAAAGCTGCACAGAGAAACCCTGTCTCGAAAAACCTAAAAAAAAAAAAAAAAACAAACAAAACAAAACAAAAAAAAACCCCTCACAAATAGAGATATGTTCTCAGGCATCAAGTTCCCAAACAGATTTACTTATTAATTCTTCACACTAAATCTTCAAAGATTTAAAATCTGGCTAGGAATTTTTTTGTCCAAACCAGAAAGCTAAGGATCTTGTTCACTATACTCCAGAAACATTAAACAACTTATTGTTTTTCTATTGTGTCACATCTTCTTCTAATTGTCTTTCATTTATTAAATAAACATTCATTCAAGGTAGAATGGTGCACACACTGTGATCCCTGCATTCAGGAGGCTGAGGCAGGTGTGCCATAAATTTGAGGCTAGCCCAGAGCTACACAGTGAAACTGTCTCAGAAATGCCAAAATATAAAGAAAAAGAAAAAACAATTTTTCCATTTTGGAGGCAGAGGCAGGACAGCTAGTTCAAGAGTAGCTTGTAGGGCTGGAGGATAGCTCAATAGTTGAGCGCAATGGTTGCTCTTCCAAAAGACCCAGATTCAGTTTCCACCACTTATATGGTGGCTAGCAACTGGTCGGGACTCCATTTGTCCAGGAGATCCAAGGTCCTCTTCTGGTCTCCACAGGCACCAGGTATACTTGTGGTACAGATATACACTCAAGCAAAATAACAATACACACAAAATAAACCTTAAAAACAAAAAGAGGAATAGCTTGGGCTAGAGTTTGAAGCTAGATTGGGCTACCTCAATAGCAAGATTGTCTCTCCAAACAAACAAACAAACAAAAAAACCAAAAACAAAGCAAAGCAAAATCCAACCCAACCACTTACTGAACCATTAATTCCTAGGGAAATAATGTTGAATAAATTATAGTTCCTACTATCATAAAACCTACAGCTGGCCTCTCTTCATAGAGAAATGGCACAGTCTCCCTTTGCTTTTCATTTTTTCAACATCTAACAGATTGTGGCATAATGAAAAGTTTAATGGTTATTGGATAATAAATGATCAAAATGTCAGAAATACGGTTCCTTCTTTCCTTTTCTTGAGAGAATGCCTCACATAGCCCTTGTTGGTGTCGACTTTTCTATGCAGCAGCTGAACTGCTCCTCCTGCCTCTGCCTCCTGAGTACTGGAATTACAAATGTGCATTCCCTGTGCCAGTTGATGGCACATTTCAATTTCAATATTTGAGTGCATACTCGGGGTCAGGTACTCTTTGAGGTGCTCAAATTTGGAAGATTTAGAAATAAGAAAGCCCTTGATGTCCTGTAGCTTTTCTAACATCTGCAGCAGCAGCAGCAGCAGCAGCAGCAGCAGCAGCAGCAATATAGAACCTTCTCACCCATTAAAACATTAACTCATGTCCACTTCCAAATGTCACAGTTAAACAATAGCCTTTTCTTTCTCAGTGGGAAGACACCCCTTTTCCAAACCCTCTGCGTTTTCTACCTTTCCCTTTCTTTAGGTGACTTTCTTGGTTTTTCTTCTCTAATCAGATCTACCTAATCACACTAATGTTTCCTTCTTTCTCCTTTGTCTCTTTCCTCTGGTGCTGGGCATCACTTTGGACACACTCCACCACAGAGCTGTATTCACAGTCTTAAACCAAGCGGTTCTGTTTGTTTGTTTGGTTTTTGAGACAGGGTCTTAGAATGTAGCTCTGGTTGCCCTGGAACTCAGTACGCAGACCTGGTTGGCCTCTAACTCACAGAGCTCCAAATATTTCTGCCTCTGAGTGTTGGGATTAAGGATATGCACCACCAGCCTGGCTTAAACTTGTTTTAACTCATTCCCCCTGTACCTAATTCTCTCTTTTCTTTCAAATAAATCAACATTTCATAGTTTCTTACTCATCTCTCAAGCCCCTGGCTTTAGTTTTATCATCTACTTAAATTTCCATATGCATGGTCAAAAACCTCCTCCAGTGTTCCAAACTCCTAAGGCCTCCGTCCTAAACGGAATGAGCTCTTTAGTTTCTTATAAAGGCTCAACCTGAACCACCATCTCTTGGCATAACTGAATGTGTTCTTTAAGTACTGATTAGCACATCACCTGTCATCTTAAAATCAGAGCAGAGTGACTCTGAAGGTTTCATTACTAATCCTTTCTCTTTTTGCCAATGGTACATTTACTGATAATGACCAACAATTTTTAGTTATGTAAGGCTGCAATTCTGGTCAAGCACCCTATATGCAAAGTGCCTGGGACCACAAGTGTTTCATACTGTGAGGATTTGCATAGATTTTTTTTTTTAACCTGCTGAGCATCCTTAATTTTGGACATCTAGAAGTCCAATGTCTGAAATGTGTTTGGACTTCACAGGGGAAACAAAATCGGAGTCCGGCGACCTGTGTTCCAATTCTAGCCTGTACCTTTACTGCACAAGAGTGGAAGCTCTACAGCTGTTTTGAGGTGTGTCATTACACACTTATTTTAGCACAATGTGAAGTGCTCACTCGCACAAACAAAAAGTAATAGGAGCCAAGACATGGTGTAGGAAAGGAGAGTGACATCACCTACCATAGACTTTATATGGGTACAAAAATCAAAAATGGTTGGAACGGCATCCATTTTAAGTCGTCGAGTTTGGCCTGTTAGATCAAAACAGGAGGCTTCAAAGTGCTTTGAACAAAGAAAAGTGTGTTTTCCTGGCACAAAATTTTTGCGCCTAACCAGGCGAACCCATTCTCTTCTTCTTTTAGGATCCAAAGGAAACCTTAAAACAAGCAAACAAAAGGCAACTCAAATTCCAGCTGTGCTATTGTTGTTGTACTTAATAGTTCAACGTAAAAGTCCCTCGTTTATGTAAAAAATTACACAATCTCCAGATGCCAATTTATAATAGTTTTTACGTTATAAAAAATGAGTGAAGAACTAACTAGTAGGTTTACTTTTCCAGACTTTAAAAAGAGGCATTCCTTCCAACCTAGCCCTTAGCAAGGGCAATAACTGAAGTACAAATAAGACTCTTATACAGAATGATCACAAGCAGGAGTAATTTCACGATGCTTTTATCTGCTGCTGCAACAAATATATCTGGTATGTTAAGGATTAAATTTTAACAAGAAAAATCTGGGCAAATACACTCCTTTCTGTCTTCCCTACATTTCACCATTGTTTTATACGCTTTCCATTAAAATTTCCAGTGGTACAAGTTATATATTTTCAAAGACAATTTTGTGTGTGTGTGTGTGTGTGTGTGTGTGTGTGTGTGTGTGTGCATGCATACAGAGGTGTGTGTGTGTGTGTGTGCGCACGCGCGCACCCATGTGCAGGCAAGTATGTGGAGGTCAGAAAACAACTTTTGGGGAATTCTCTCTTTCCACCATGGGTTCTGGACATGGAACTCAGTTTCTAAGGCTTGTATGGCAATAATATGCTGAGCCGTCTTGCTGGCTCCAAAGTTGTAAGTTTCTTGAGGAAAGCAATTATTATTATTTATCTGTTTATCTGTTTATATGTTGACCATGCCTTGTAAACAATAAGAACTCAACAAAAAATTGATATATTAATACAAATACAGAATATATTAAAAAATCCTGGAGCTATGGAGAATAACAGAAAACAAAAAAGATAGGTGATCTGTAAGCTATCCTTTTCCTTTTATATTTATTTCAAATACAAAAGATACATCCATCCAACACAAATATAAAGGGCTGTTTTTGAAAATTCTAATAATTCTAGCTTTGTTAGTTGACTTGGAAACGTAAGAATAAACATCCACACATAGTTAAATTTCAATTACAATTCTTTTGTTTTCTTTTTCATTTAGGGCCAGTGCGATGACTCATTAGGTAAGAACATTTACCACGGAACCTCATAACCTGAGTTTGATTTCCTGGACCCACATGGTGGAAGGAGGAAAAACCAACTCCCACAAGTTGTGTCCTCTTCACAGGCAGGCCATGGCATATACACACACACAGTCTTTCTCTCTCAAAGACAGACAATAAGTATATGAATGTTCAAAAGATCCCTTTGGTACCATATGTATGTGATATATGTGTGTGGGCATGTGTGCCAGCTTGCAAATGTGAGGCCAAGCTGGTGGAGCTGGTTTTCCCCTTCAACCTTGGCATGGGCTCTGGGATCAAATTCAGATTGCGATGCATGCAAGTGTCTTTGCTCGATGGCCATTCTGCCAGCTTCTAAATCTTCTTTAGTTTGATCACTATATCCTTTATATGTACTAATTTGTGTTTAAGAAAATAAAATAAAATCCATGTGAGACCATGTGGTGCAGAAGGCTTATCACATGTATGGAATTAGATTTCCACACATTGCCAGTGACGAGGAGCAGAAATGAAAGCCCAGATTTACTCTAAATATCCTTCCTCACAACAGACATGCCCTGAAGATTTGCTCTCACTCCACAGTTCATAATATTTTTAATTTCATTAGAAGATGTTTTCTGATAAACTTACCAACCTTGTTTAGTTCTGTCCCCTCTGCCCTCTGAGCTCTTTGAGACAGGTCCTACCTATCTAACCCAGGCTGGACTGCAGCACACTATTGTAGTCCAGGGCTAACCTAAAACTGCAGCCAACCTGCCTCGACTTTCAAGTGGTGGGATTACGTGAGTGAGCAGCTGCATCTGACTTAACACTTACCTCCTAACCTGTTCTCATTTCAAAGAACTCTTATCTCATTTAATGGTTTGTCAAACCTAGTTAAGTGTATATTTAATTTTACTAGGGAATTAGTAAAGATGAGCAGTAAGTATTATTTGGGGGTTCATTGGCTTCCACCTTGTGTGCTGGGATGATGGGCCTGTACCACCACAGTTGGCTTTTAAAGCATTTTTATTTTTATTTTTAATTTTTTTGGTTTTTTTCGAGACAGGGTTTGGTACCTGTCCTGGATCTCGCTCTGTAGCCCAGGCTGGCCTCGAACTCACAGAGATCTGTCTGGCTCTGCCTCCTGAGTGCTGGGATTAAAGGCATGCGTCACCTCCCCCCCCCCCCCCCCCCCCGGCTTTTAAAGCATTATTTTTAATTATGCTTTACGGGTGTTGTATTTTGTTTCTGAGACTCCAATGTCACCGTGTTGACAACAAACTATGTAGCTGAGGATGACCTTGACCTCCTGTGGATTACAGGCCTATGCAACGTTGCCTGGGCCTTGAATATATTATTTGGATTTTTCACAGTATATTTTAAGGATAGATGTATCTCACTGGCTAAATTTAAATAATAGAAAACATCTTACAAATATTAACAAATTCACATGGTGGTAACAGATGGATATATTCTTGTCCACACAACACACCCAGGTTTTTTTGTTTTTGTTTTTGTTTTTTGAGACAGGATTTCTCTGTGTAGCTTTGCGCCTCTCCTGGAACTCACTCTGTAGCCCAGGCTGGCCTCAAACTCACAGAGATCTGCCTGTCTCTGCCTCCCAAGCGCTGGGATTAAAGGCGTGCACCACTACTGCCCAGCCACCCAGAGTTTTATAAACATTTACATTTTGTAAAAATCACTCAATAGTTTGAGTGATGCTATTTTGCTTGCATTTTAAATAACTGGTTGAATACCTCTAACATTCTTAGGCACTGTGGACATGGTGGTTAAAAAAAAAAGCCTACCCTCTGAGTGTATACCATATTGAGAAGGTAAAGAGTCACACAGTCCTAACATATTAGCAGACTGGCTGAGAACATTGTTATTGGACAACCAAGCTAGTTCCTTGGCACAATATCTGGACACAACAGGCAAATTTACTTAACTTTTTTAGAGCCTCTGTTTTGGAGTTAGTGGTGCTAGGATCAAAACCAGGGTCTCACACATACTAAATAAGTAACCACCATTGATGAGGTACATTCCCAGCCCTAGGTATTTTATTTCTACTATCTATATGTAAGGGAGAAATGCTTCTAAGGGGTAAGAAGATAGCTCTGGTGGATCCCTGTGTCAGTGACCATTTGGAAAGTTTCAGGTCAATGAGAGACCGTCTCAGACCAAAAAAAAAAAAAAAAAAAGTGCCTGAAGAACAACAGCGGGAGGTTGGCTTGGTCTCCATGTGCATGTCTTCAAATTCGAATACCTACACATATTTCTTTTAAAGATTAGAACATGTAAATGCTTAGCTTAGTGGCACAGTAGGTCTTTTGTAAAGGAGTAAGTATGGAGCTGTATGGAGCAGGACATGCTGACTTATTTAGAAGGCCCTACGAAAGGACCTTAAGTGGGAGTAGTTAAGTTATAGGAATATCTCGGGAGCAGGACATGAAATAAACATAGAGGCCTTCTATGTCGAAAATATTGCAATACATTCCAAGTGTCATTGACAAGCCAAAAGGGGCAGAACTGCATGACAACAGAATCAGCTGTTAAATACAACCATTATTAAAGACTAATTTCCTAACATTTACTAATAACTTTTTTTTAAAGATTCATTTTTAATCATGTGTGTTTGTGCGGATATGTACACACAAACCCAGGGACCCAAGGAGGCCACAAGTTAGATCCCTTGGAGCTGGAGTTACAGATTGAGCTGCCTGATTCAGGTGTTGGGAAATGAACCTGGGTGCTCTGGAAGGGCAGTACACATTCTCAGCTGCTGAGCCTTCTCTCCAGCCTCAATTTCTATTTTTAAAGTTATTTATGTCTACTGCATCTGTATGGTAGACCCACGATCAATTAGTGTGATATTGTACATCTCTTCTTATCTCCACAATCAGTCATGTCATATCGGTGGCTTGAAACCAAGCTTGGTGAGAGTAAATGCACCTTAGAAACTGGGCAAATACTACAGATTGGGGCTTTCTCCCTTTCATGGACTGACAATTGGTAATACGGAGCTATAGACCATTGATTATAGAAGGGTGGTTAGAAGTGCATGAACCAGTAAACCAGTTAAGATGCTGTTACAATATCCAGTCAAGAGGGAATAGTGATACATCAAGTTGGATTGCTCCCAACTTGTTGGGTGGATAGTATTTCATTTACTGAAAAGGGAAATACGGGAATGAATATATTTGCTGGATGGCAGTTCACTACTGATATTGGGACTGGCAGAGGACCAGGGAAATAGTATACATTTACAGTCTTTTACTCACTAGAGATAAGGACTCTTATTGTTTTGGGAATCTAAACATAGATCACAGGTGGGACAAACACAGGTGAATCATTTGGGTAAGAGAATAGGAAGAGATTAAAACAAAGGAACCCAAAGGACAAAATTCATAAAACTACTGACAAATTTAAAAGTGGAAATTATTTCACTAAGTAAAAAAGATCACATCATTAAAAATGAGACACACAGGTCATGTTCACAGAGGCAATTTTAGAAGGTTATGAAGGAGATGTAGATTGGAGTAGGTTAAGAAGTATAAAAAATTGAAAACAAATTTAGGCAACAATTTTAAAAATGACTTTTATTTTGTATGTGTACATGCCTGAATGTATCTATGTGGGCAAGAGCCCAAGGAAGTCAGAAGAGGGGTTGGATCCCCTGGGTCTAGTTTGTGAGCTGCCACGTGTGTGCTGGGAACCGAACCCAGGTCCTCAGCAAGAACAGTAAGCACTTTAACCCATTAGCCATCTCTCCAGCCCCTAGGCAACACAATTTGTGCAGATGGATAAAGGCATGGTCGCACATGTCTTTAAGGCAGGGCAGAGAGATCTCTGTGCGTTTAAGGCCAACCTGGTCTACATAGTGAGACACACACCCACACGCGCACACAGTGTCTGAGTCCTACAAGAGAAGTTAAATACTATTTGCATTTATAAAAACAGGAATATATTTTTATTATAATGCTATTCTAAAACTCACGTGTTTGTTTGCTTTGTTGTGTTTGGAGACAGGGCCTTATCTTGTAGCCAGGCCTCAAATTCATCCTGTAACTCAGGCTGGCTTTGAACTCATGGTGATCCTTCTACCTACTCCCATGTGCATGGAATACAGGAATGTGCCTGCTTAGCAATTATAAAGACTTACATCTCTAAGGCTATCATAAAAATGCTAGTTTCATATTAGATGAACAGTATTAGACACTGCGCTTTTCTTTATTTTTTTTTCCTTGACCCAGAGTTTTATTTTGTGCTCCAGACAGGCCTCGAACTTGAGGTGGATCCTCCTGGCTCAGCCTCCTATATTCTAAGATTATAGCCTTGAGCCACCATACCCCGCTCTCCACTGTACATCACTTCAACATTGCTTTTAGTGGCTAGACTCCTCCCTTTCATCTTCCACACCAGATCACCACACCCAATAAATTCTCCTCCAACATCTCTCAACATCTGTCTGCTTCTCTCCACCGTCACCGCCAACAGCATCCTATTCTGGAGCACTGAATGGATTCCCTACGTTCATGTAAATAGTATTCTGAGAACGGGTCTGTGTACCTCAGGTTGGCCTCTGATTAATGACACCCAGCCTCTTTCTTCTCATTTCTGAGATTACAGACATGTATCACCACACAGGCTTGGGCTCCCTTTTGTCATAGCTTCCTATTTTCTTCTTATTCACCTCTCTCACTTCCTCTCATTCAGTGCTCCCGTGCCCACAACTAAGCAGCAGTATTCAGTTCAGCTGCCATCCCTGTGATGGCAATAGCAGATAAATTAACGTTCCACAATAGGCTCCTTCCTTATCAAATCCATCTCTGGTGACGCTGTGAGTATCACTCTTAACTCTACGCTGCAGCCAGAAGGCTTTTGATTATGTAACTCTAATCATGCCAGTCTTTCCTTCTTCAGGGCTTCTCAAGTACTCTTGGGACAAAACAGAAACCGCATTAGTACAGAGGACCACACCTATGTCATCCTCTGGTCTCATTTGACACGTCACCTCTTTGGTGAAGTGTCCTTTGCCTTTCCAAGGCTAAATTAGGTCTCTTTGAATGTCTTTTCTGTGGCACTCAACTGTAATTATGTCTCACTCCTCTATTCAATTCTAAAGTCCCCGAGGGTAAGAACTTTCTCCATCATTAGCATAATGTCAGGCAATTAGGGACCTGGTGTACATCAGCTGTGCGAATGAATAAAGCATTATATTTGCATGAAGTAGTTTTAAAACAAACATCAGAAGGATTTTTTTAAGGGGCAGCTTTTAGTCAGGGGATGCACTTAGTAATAGTGAGGTAGGGAGACGAACAAAGATATTTTCTATATTCTAAGATCACAATTTATATGGTGGGACATATAAAAATCAGAACTGTTTTCACTTAAGTTTTTAGTATTTCTTTTCTTCAGGAAGGTGGCAGTTCTTGAAGGAAAGAGGAGCATTTCCTGAGTACCTATTGCAGAGTTTAACTTAAACAGAACGTTAGGTTCATTTTATGATTCTGTTCAAGAGAAAGCTTTTGTTTGCGCTTTGGTAAACACCGCTGAATTACACGGCCGTCAGCGATGACTCAGTTCCTCGGCAGTTAGTGTGTGTGCCTATTAGAAACCTTGCCCACGTCAACTCAGCTAGCGAACATTTCCTAATTTTAACTCGGACACAGGAGGCTTTTAACGTGATTTGTTGGCTTGAACGGGAAGTGATCTTTCCCGTATGGCGTCATTCGTCTCAAGGCATGGTCTAAGATACAAAAATAAAAGCGGAGAAAATAAAGGTATGCCCATCACTTTTTAACGTAAGCGGTCTCATTCACAAGAATCCGGATTTCTTGTCGGAAATCGGAGAAAACTTTCCCGGGAGAGGGAGAAAAAGGGTTTCCAGCTGCGCGGACACCCCCCCCCCCCCCCACACACACAAAAGGACACACAAGTGATGTCCCCCCTGCTATTCTTAGCAGCCGGGCGAGTGACTCACGGCGGAGGACCTCGGTTCCCCGGGACGCGGCCGGTCCTCAGCCCGGTTCGAAGCGCCCCCCCCCACCCCCGCCCCCGGTCTCCGTCACCCCCGCTCCCTCGCCCAGGTTACCTGTGGAAGCTGACGTTAATGTGCTTGTCGTAGGTCGCAGCACAGCCCGCCGCGGCGCAATTGGTCGGCATTTCCCCCGGCCCCTCATCCGGCGCTCCCTGACGCCACTTCTCCGGCGCGCAGCCCGCCGCGGTCGCCGCGCAAAAAAAAAAAAAAAAAAAAAAAAAAGGCACGCCGACCAGGCGACGACGAGGCGCAGCAGCAGCAGCGATCGAGCTCGGTGCCAGGGGCGCCGCGTGGGGAGAGGGGGCGTGCACACGACCGGGGTGGGCCCACTCCCCTCGTTCTTTATTAATAATGTGGCCGGTGTGGGTCCGCAGAGCTCCCGGGGCAGACGCTCGCCTTCACCAACATGGCGGCCACGCCCGCTCGCCCTCCTCCCCCCCCCCCCCCACTGCGCCCACCCCCCGGGGTCCCAAAGAGAGGAGGTAGGCTTGAGTCTCAGATCGGGGCGCCCGAGCCAGGAGGCGATGGCAGGTGTCTGGCCCACCAACGAAGGACACTGAACAAACTCAGCTCTGCGACTCTAAGAGCAGGGCCCGCTACCCGGACAGGGATGCCAGGGGACAGTTAAGTCCGCGGAGGGAGGACGGCGTGGGGGTGGGGTGGGGGGGGAGCAACCAAGGGCGAAGCCTTGCGCCAGAGGGGACTACACATCCCAGCGAGCACCGCGCCCGTCGCGCTCTCCCCGTTCCCCCTCCCCTCTCCCCGTCCTCGCGAGACTCGGAAGCCGCCCCCTTCCGGCGTGCCGCCGGAAATGACGATCGGGACACGGCCTCCTCCACGGCTCCTTTCTCGCGAGGCGGAAGAGCAGCAAGGGGGCGCTAGGAGAGGGAACTGGCTTGAGCGACGGTCCGGCGAGCGAGCGAGCGAGCGATCTGGGGTGCGGGGAAGTTGGGGAGCAGAACCTGCTCGGCGTCCGAGCACGGGAAGGCCGCGCCTGCCGGGCCCGTTAGGAACCGAGGGGAGAGGAGCAAGGGGAAGGCAGCGGGCGGGCGGGTCCCCGGACAGAGGGCTCAGGGGGTGCGAACGGCGCTGCTCCCCCCCCCCCCAACCCCACCACCCCCGGATGGCGACCGCTGATACTTCGACCCCGGCCTCTAGCGGCCTCTCCCCGAAGGAAGAAGGGGAGCTTGAAGATGGGGAGATCAGCGACGACGATAACAACAGCCAGATCCGGAGCCGGAGCAGCAGCACCAGCAGTAGCGGCGGCGGCGGCGGGTTGTTACCGTACCCGCGGCGGAGGCCTCCTCACCCGCCCCGGGGCGGTGGATCCGGGGGAGGCGGCGGCGGCGGCGGCGGCTCGTCGTCGTCCTCGTCTTCATCTCAGCAGCAGCTGAGGAATTTCTCACGCTCGCGGCACCCGTCTGAGCGGGGCCACCTCAGGGGACCCAGCAGCTACCGACCCAAAGAACCGTTCCGGACTCATCCGCCCCCGGTGCGGATGCCTTCGGGCTCCCTGTCGGAGAGCAGCCCCCGACCGTCCTTCTGGGAGCGCAGCCACATCGCTCTGGACCGTTTCCGCTTTCGAGGCAGGCCTTACCGGGGTGGGAGTCGGTGGAGTCGGGGGCGAGGAGTGGGGGAGCGAGGAGGCAAGCCGGGGTGCAGACCTCCCCTGGGAGGAGGCGCGGGATCCGGATTCGGCAGCAGTCAGAGTTGGCGAGAACCCTCTCCGCCTCGCAAGAGCTGTATCCTTAACGTGGCGGTCTGCCCTGGGTGTGTCGCCGGAGCTCCCTTGGGCGTCACGGCTCGGTCCCCGAGTTTAACTTTTCAGAACCACGTATTTGTCTCTGTGTTCGTCGGCAGTTGTCATGTGCCACCCACTCCACCGCTGTTTTCTCAGATTGCTTTATTATTGGATGGACCGCTTTCGAACATGAGTGTGTCATGGATTCGGGTCAGCTAGGGAAATCAAGTACAATCTAGGGTTTTAACGGAATACCAGCAGCCCAGATTTCATTAGCATTTGCTTTTTTTTTTTTTTTTGCTAGCACCGGAATTTCGTGTTTTATGGGAAATTCACTTAGGTTATTAGGGGAAAGAAATACTCATAACATCTTGAGGAATCCTGTTACTTATCGTTCATCCTGACTTTAGACTTCGTTGAGTTTTCCTCTGTAATTTTACCGTTCTTGTGAATTTTTTTCTTACTCTTCTAGAGTTATTCGTTCTCATTGCTGCCTTTTAAAGTGTGTGTATGCAGACCCTTTTCTTTTTTTAACCAGTTTTAATAATTCTGATCTTTTAAATTCATACATAGTTTGGAAAGCTGTATGCATTAGGTTCACTTTCGGGCTTTATATCTGTTCTACGTGTATAGATAGAGAAAGATGAACTTACCAGCACTTTCATTTAGTGTGTTAGAAAGGGAGGGATGTGTAGTGTATGGACAAGCTGGGAAGAAAAACAGTCAATTTCCTAATTTTTGCTCCCTCTAACATTATTGGGTTATCTTTAACATTACCAAGTTTACTCGGGATTTATGTTAAGAGATTAATCGTCCAAAGCGTTTGTGTTTTACGATGGGTTTATACCTCTGGACTTTTACTAATTGTTTAGGATAGGTTTACTAAGCACTTTTATTACTAGCTATAATTCCCATGATGTAATAATTATTTAATATATTTTCTATAAAATTTACATACGACACTTAATTGGAACATACTCAGAATTGTATTTATGAAGCACTTTAGGCTATAGGCGTTTTCTAGCTGTCATGATATGAATGGGCAAGGGGTATTTAGAGAAACAACAGATTTTGACTCCTGTACCCTGAGAAAGCTTTTACTTCTGTCACCTGACACTGGTTTGGAAGCATCTCAAGATTGTGTTGGAGAAACATCACAGGTAGGTAATCTTTTAAAACACAGTGAATGTTCTTTCATGAAGATCAGAAAACCTTTGCCCATGATTATATGCAAACATGAGCCATCCATGATTTTTTGCTCTCTGGATTAAAAAACAAAGGATATCCAAATACATAAACATGTTTTTAAGCTTACACAGATGAAACTTGTAATTCGGGTTGGAGAAACAAATGAAAATAGAATTTAGTAAAAAACATCAAATTGAAGACAAAAGTACTGTGGCAGTTGGATGGTTTCCTTAGTTCCTCCGCTTTAGAAAAGGTGGTGGCTAGGCTTGCCTGCCTCTTTCCTCCATGTTTTTTTCTGGTTACTTGCTGCTGTTGGGGGTTGTGCATAGACTAGATTTTAAGTACTTATTGCCAGAAGTATAGGGAAGGGCGGGGCGGTGGTAGCGCATGCCTGTAATCCCAGCAGAGGCAGGGGGATCTCTGTGAGTTTCATACCAGCCTGGTCTGTAGTCCAGCCTACAAAGCAACGTCCAGGACAGCCAGAGCTGTTAAACAGAGAAACCCTGTCTAGAAAAACCGTTAAAAAAGAACTGAAACAGAATCTGGTCCATTCTGTTTTTTTTTTTAAGTTGCAAGTAATATATCCTAATTATGTTTAAAAAAAATAGACAAAAAATTATACTCAAGCTATTTCATTTCTAAATCAGTTGCGTCAGAATTGCCCTCTTTTTAGGCAATATTTGTAACGTAGCCTTTTTGTTTGTTTGTTTGTTTTTGTTTTGCTTTTTTGTTTTTCGTTTTTTGTGTAGTTCTGGTGCTTGTCCTGGATCTTGCTCTGTAGACCAGGCTGGCCTCGAACTTATAGAGATCCACCTGGCTCTGCCTCCCAAGTGCTGGGATTAAAGATATTCGCCACCACTGCCCGGCTGTAAAGTAGCCATTTTTATAATCACAGTGGACATAGGAATTAAGCTGAGCAGGATACTGATATTAAAGGAATGTGGATGGCGCTTTGTGTTCAAGTTTTATTTGCTTGCATTACGTTTTTCCTTCTCAAGTTCTTATTAGGAACTCTACCTCTAGTGTGGTTTACTAATAATTTCGTGAAAACAATAATGCAGACAATCAAACCAAGCATCTTGTTCTTAAAGTGCAGTATCTGAAAACAATCAGCAAAATAGCTGATTTCTGAAAAGCTGTCAGAGAAATCAAAATCACAGAAGCACACTGGGTATTTACCTACACTCTTTAGACAGGGTCTCTCTCTGTAGCTTTGGAGCCTGTCCTGGAACTTACTTTGTAGACCAGGCTGGCCTCGAACTCACAGAGATCCGCTTGGCTCTGCCTTCCGAGTGCTGGGATTAAAGGCACTGGCCACCACTGCCTGGCCTGTCTCAGTTTGTTTGTTTGTTTATTTTGTAAGACAGGGTCTTGTGTAGCATAGGCTACCTCAGGACTCCTCATCTCCTGTCTCAGCCTCCTCAGAGTTAGGATAGACATTTTGTCAGTCTTTGTTAGTGTTAAGTCTCCCTGTATAACTACCATTTTAAACTTTGAAATCGGATTAGGACAGTGTCACCATCAGTAAAGTTAGCCTATCTTCATTTTTGATTTCAGCTAAGGTTGAAAAGTGGTTCTTCCTTTAAAACATCAGGTTTAAAAGTCAAAGCCAGTCTCTCTCTCTCTCTCTCTCTCTCTCTCTCTCTCTCTTTTCTTTTTCCTTTTGATACTGAGTATTGAGCCCAAGACCCTACTATAGAAACTACACCACTGGTTCTTTTAAAAGTTTGCTTGAAGAGAGGAGCTTGTGAAGTAGCTCCAGTCCTATCTCAGCTTCCCTGGTAGTAAAGATTAAGGCATTTGCCACCAAACTCATATAAAGGCAGTTTTTTTCCTTTTTTAAAGATTTATTTTTATTAATTTTAAATGTATACGTGTGTGCATACGTTCACATGAGTGCCCCAGGAGACCAGGGGTGTCAGATTGCCCTGAGCTGGAGCTACAGGCAGTTGGGAGCCTCGTGACATGGGTGCTGGGACTTGAACTTGGGTCCTTAGCAAGAGCAATACTCACAATTGCTGTACTGTCCTCTCCAGCCCAAGCAGTTCTTTTTGTTATTCTTCCACTGAGCCTCAGCAAGTAGCACATAAAATACAAGTTAGAAGTAATATCTTGACAAACAAGCAAGTGTTGATTTGATCCTAATGCTGTAGAGGTGGGAAAGAGTTTGTCTCAGAGGTAAGTTAATGACTGTAACTCAATTATTTTTACTCATTTTTCAGATAGGTTACTTTTGTT